AGTCATAACTTTCTTGAATAAATATTAGAAAACTGAGGCTCAGATAGGCAAAGTTACTAAGTTGTTGAGCTGGGACTACAACTTCTGTATTCTTTTCACTTTTAAAACTCCAGGTGCTAAAAACACAATATAATTAAGTAAAACTCTTCAGTCTGACCTGTGAATGGTTTTTATGGCTTTTCATTGAAGTGTGAAATGCTCTGATAGCTGCCAAAGTGTCAAATAGGCCTTATGGCTGTAACGGGAAAAGTGACTTACCACTTTTAGTTTTCTAGTGACTTCTATTTGATCTGACAATAAGAAGCTACACTTAAAGCTTTGAATAAGCAACTAGGACAGGGGTGCACAGGAAATATCTAAGATAATGCTCATTTTAAAAAATGCTTTTCACAAAGAATGAAACACTATCAAAAGCAATAACCTCTGCACATCAACCATTTATTGAATCACTATGACAGAAAAAGACTAATATAAATAAAATGAGTCTTAATGACTGGCTGGCTCTTAGGGAAGTTGGCCAAGGGGAGAAAAATCACTGGGATTTTAATTGGGCCATGCTAATAGACCTAACCCATCATTCTTCTCCAAAGTCCATCTGTATTCCAAAGAAATAGAAAAACAAAAACTCAGCAACTAAGAAAAAAGTGTATTATTTACTGTACTAAATTCTTGTAAGATTTGTTTTAACAGAGTTCCATTTTTATGCACTGGGCATCTATTACACGGCATTTTTAAAATTTTTGTATAATTAAAGCATATAGGACTTACTGCATAAATGTTATTTTATATATTTAAAATACGCTTCTGAAGTGTGGAGTCATCTCTGCTTTCCTTTTCCAATTCTTTGCATAATACAGGGGTCCAGTGCAAACTGTGGGCTAAATCTAGCCTGATGCCTGTTCCTATATAGTCGGTGAACTAGAACTGCTTTTACATTTTAAATGGTTGAAAGAAAAATCAAAAGAATATTTCATGATATGTGGACATCAGAAGAAAGTCAAGTGGGAGTATCCATAAACAGTTTTATGAGAACACTGCCATACTCATTTGTTTACGTACTGTCTATGGCTGCTTTCAGGCTACAATGGCAAAGTTGAGCAGCTGTCTAAAATATTTACCATTTGACTTTCACAGAAAAAAGTTTGCAGACCTTTGGAATGATTCTTTAAAATATGAAAAAATTAGAATTAGACGGGCTTAATTTAGTTTGTCTTTAATAAATGTTTAACATATAAGCATTTTTAACTTTCAAACAATTGCAGCCCATTCCTCTCTGTGTTACTTTTATCTCTTAAATAATTCTGAATCATTAATATTTGTGAAACGCCAGATTTTCCTACTTAAGGAAGTTCTTTTTTTTTTTAATTTTTTTTAATTTTTATTTTTTTTATTTATTTTTATTTTTTATTTATTTGCGAGAGAGAGAATGAGAGACAGAGAGCATGAGAGGGAGGAGGGTCAGAGGGAGAAGCAGACTCCCCGCTGAGCAGGGAGCCCGATGCGGGACTCGATCCTGGGACTCCAGGATCATGACCTGAGCCGAAGGCAGTCGCTTAACCAACTGAGCCACCCAGGCGCCCAGGAAGTTCTTTTTTTTTTTAGATTTTATTTATTTGACAGAGGAAGACACAGTGAGAGAGGGAACACAAGTAGGTGGAGTGGGAGAGGGAGAAGCAGGTTTCCCACTGAGCAGGGAGCCCGATGCGGGGCTTGATCCCAGGACTCTGGGACCATGACCTGAGCCCAAGGCAGACGCTTATACACCAAAGTGAGGATTCAACGTCAGCACTTGGTGTTAGAGAGTAGTCAACAGAGATAAATAGGAGGGCTGGCCAAAAGAGAAAGGAAGAGCTCTATTATGCAAATGAGTGGAATGAGTTTGATGCAAAAGACAAAAACAAAGACAAAAAACCAGGCCAGGGTAAATCGAGGTATCAAGATTAGATATAGGTATAATGATGGCATCAGTAATAGAAAAGAGGCAGTCACAAGGAGGAGCTAGAGGATAGAAAGACTGAGTACAGTTTTTGGTATGTTGAATTTGACAGACTCTTGGAATATCAATACAAGGAAGTCAACTAGGCAGCAATATAACACAAGGAACTTCAGGGCTAGACATTCCATTGCAATAACCTATATGAAGCTACTGATACCTTCACACCTGGAAGTTTCCAGAAGAACTTCATAATTAAGAGGTTTTTGCTATGTTATATACATATATATTGTGTCTGTGTGTGTCTGTGTGTGATATGTACCATTAGCTTACTATGGAACACAATTAGTACAAAGAGAAGGGGAAGTTTTAAAGTTAATATTTCACTTCTATGGTTCAAAATAACGAGCCATAAGGAACTGTTTAAATTATTAAATGTACATATGAAATTGTCACCCGATGAGTTTACCAAGTCTGTCTTTAAATAAACACAGAGAGAAAAACATTTTGAACAACTAGAGAAGGCATATTTCCATAGATATAAGAGTTAAAAACAAAAAAACAAAACAAAACAGGTTGGCCTTAACTATGGAATAAAGTAATCAATTTAGCCTTAAAGCCTATATACTGAAAATGGGATACATTTTATAGCAATCAAAGATCAACAGAAACTTAGTGTTAAAAGAGGTCTTTTGTTAAAAACAAAAAACAAAACAAAACAGGTTGGCCTTAACTATGGAATAAAATAATCAATCTAGCCTTAAAGCCTATACACTGAAAATGGGATATATTTTATAGCAATCAAAGATCAACAGAAAATTAGTGTTAAAAGAGGTCTTTTGGAGATAGTTTTCTCTTGGATGGCTGGAATTGATAATCTCAAAGAGCTTTAGCAGTAGTCACTGTGAAGACCAAGACTAGAAACCAGTACCCTTTTTACTATACTATGACCTCTTAGCTTTATGAAAAAATTAATAAATACCTGATAACACTCTTTTAACTCAAGGAGCATGATACCACATGAAGATACCTATAAATACTGTAAGATGTACAGTTACTAGGTTCTAAATTTCAATGCATTTATTTTATGCACTAGTATTAGGAAACACACTAAGACCTCAGGAAATTAATTAATGTACATTTCCAAGGGAAACTCTTCTAGTTTAATGAATAGTAAACATTATCAAAAGTCAATCAAGGCCTAAGGCTGGGTAAGTGTATAGTCAAGTATACGTAAGAGATTAAAGAGAACTTTATACTTTATATAGGTAAAAGGATATGCTGGAATTTGTTGAGGAAAACTAGAATAAATGCAACTAAGGTATTTATAGGGCTCTATTTGGCATGTTTCATTAAGTCAAAGAGCTCCTCTGAATACAGAAAAATGAGAAGTTACCAAATGGTGTGGTTTATGAATGTGATATGCTGACAGTCCAAACAGTTAAAACATACACACACATTCATTCACACAAAGCAAATCATCAGGCCTGTCAATTCAGAATAAACCTAGCACTAATTTCCTTCACTGAGCAAAAAATAATACTGGTAAAAACACTGCACTCAATTTTTGGGAACAATAAGCATGGCATTGTAAACATATTTCAAAATCAACAAGTACTAAAACAATGCTTACAGAGAATTTTTGGAAGCAAAATATTAAAGCAGCAAAATAAAATTATTACTACTATCAAGAATAAGCTATTTTCTACTCTAACTCACTTGAGAAATATGATGCAACCCCATCAATAATGATGAGTCACTTCAGCAGAAATTCTTTCATAGGAGGTGAGCATAGAATATACAAAAAGATTTGTGTAAAAAGCCTTAGGATTTCTACCAATAGGCACCCCATATCCCCCAATCCTAGGACATCCTTCTATCACACTGTAAATCAATGTTAGAAAGCATTGCTTAAATAAAGAGTTTCAAGTTAATGACTGTCACTAACTTACTAGTGGGCAAAGGTGACACAACCCTAAGAGTTAATATGACTACGATTCTAAAAGATTAACCAGTGTCACAAATAATAGCAATAAACTAAAAATAAGATCAGAAGGATTTTTAAAATAAAAAGAACTGTCACTTCAGATACACTAAAGAAATCCTGTAAGTGGCTGTAATCTTTTAAAATGAGTAAGAAAATGAAAGACATTCATATGTTTAGTATATTTATCAATTTAGAAGTATAAAATATATATGAGTAACATTAAAGAAATATTAAATTTTCAGATACATATTTTAATCTGATTAGGATCACTGCTCTTCCATCAAAGTCTACAGTTTTGGTAACATAGATACTCTGTGATCCACTCTATAATGCTCCCCACTCATGCTTTCATATATCTATACGAAAGAACTTCTATGAGTAAGTATAGATTGATATGAATGTAGTTGAGAAAAATCCATTCTGTTGTATGTACTGATGATAACATGAAGAGTAAGGATTTCTTAGTTTAGTTAAGATCCTGTATTATATGGCTGATTTTATCTAAGCCTATTGTTATATACGAAATATATAAATGGAAAAATTCAAATTCATTAACCTTAACATTAATGCAGATTAAACAGAAAAACCGGCACATTTTAAATTACAAAGGTTTTTTAAAAGACCAAAATAAATATATTCATTAATACTTATCCCTTGCTCAGGGAACTGATCAATTCCAGGTAACATGGCTCTAAGTCCTACTTGCTAAGATTTGCCATATCCAGTATGTATAAACTGGCTTCTAAAAATCAGTCAAAAAGTAGAACATATCTCTACTAAAACCCTTACTCTAAGTGACAAGTGTTTAATTGAGGACTGTTATCTTCAGGAATGTTAGCGAATTTTTAATTGCTCTTGATCCCATTTTATCCCCAAGGTGGACTGTTTAACTATGGGTTTCTTTTTAATCTTTGCCCAAAAAATGACTTTATTTAAAAGGGATCCAGATTCTTTTAGAACCACAAAGAGGACAAAAAGGACTAAAGTAACTGTTAAGATAAGCAAAGAAAACTCTGATTATTACATATTACCAAGACACAAATTTTACAGAATGAAGAACACGAAAAAACAAAGTTTTACCTCGACACAGGTTTTCATGCCTGAGGCAGCAGCATAGTGCAGGGGTGTGTTTTTTTTGTTATCAACGGCATCAATAGCTGCTCTCTCATATTCTCCTTGGTCAAGTTTTGCTCCTTTCCATCTTAAGATCATCTGCAGACAATCTGCTCTTCTGAAATCATCTTCTGCGGGCCGTGCTAAGCGAGGATGAAGGGCTCCTTCAGATATCATAATTTGAGGTCCCATACATAACAAATGCATAGATGTTTCATTGTGCACATTCCGTTTATTTGGATTTCCATCTCTACCAAAAAGAAAAGTCCTAAAATGGTAAAGGAAAAAATGAAAACCAGTGTCTCCTTGTCTTGAAATAAGAACACACAGAAGATAAATTTAAAAAATAAACTCTACTTCTAAGCTGTTAATAAAATGTCTATTGAAGTCCTGTTTCAAAATAAGACGAATGATTAATTCGTACAGTTATAAAAAACTCCATTCTAGAACAAAATACTAAGAAAAAGAAAGCTGAATATCTTTACGGTATTTGCTAATAAAAGAAGACGGACAGAAGAGAAAAGAAAAGGGAAGAAAAATAAAGGAGAAGTGAAGAAAAAAGGAAGACAAGAAAAAAGGAAGGGGCAGAGGGAGGAAAGGAACAGGAAGGGCCACATGAGACTCATATGTCAATCACATGAATGCCTGAGGGTACATTATTAAACATTCCACACCAGCTTTTATCTTCTTTTCTTTATTGTTCTGCCCTATTTCTCTTAGTTACATCTTTACTTAATAAAGAGGGTGACAATTAATATAAGCACAGGAAGTAGTGCATAAGTCTAGGACTAATTTTTAAATCTAGAAAAAAATTTTTCTACCTGAAAGTCATTGGCCAGCACTATTTACACAGCGTAATACTTTTTTTTTTTTTTAAAGATTTTATTTATTTGACAAAGAGAGACACAGCGAGAGAGGGAACACAAGCAGGGGGAGTGGGAGAGGGAGAAGCAGGCTTCCCGCGGAGCAGGGAGCCCGATGTGGGACTCGATCCCAGGACCCTGGGACCATGACCTGAGCCGAAGGCAGCCGCTTAACTGACTGAGCCACCCAGGCGCCCCCACAGTGTAATACTTTTTGAGGGGAGTAAGTTGTGGTCAGTTCTAGAAGACCAAGATCTAATTCCAAAGAGGTAGGCTTTACCAATGATAAGTCTAGGTGAGCTCCCTTAACTAATGCCAAACCTAGATCTGACAGTTAGGCCCAACTCCCTAATACATCCTTGAACTAGGATCACAGGATTAATAGTTGAGCCAACTCAGTGGCTATAATAAGATACTGGAAAATGAGTTGAAAAACAACAACAACAAAACCCTGCTATAATACAGTCAGCCTATACTAGAAAACACACAAATACATGTTGAGGAACAGGAATATAAGCCCCATGTCTGAAGATGAGTGCCTACATTTACTGTGGAGGGCTGGTATCATTTGCATTTCTATGCCCAAGTACAGAACAGCAATGGGAAGGCAGCAGAGCCAAACTCTAACCCCTAGTTACATCTGGATTGAGTTTAGGTTAGTTTTAGCTTAGACATATGGGTCTGACAGAAAAAACTCACCATAAAGGAGCTAGGATAGACTCTTCAATTTGAATGAGTTAGCCAAGCTGGAAAACTTTTATGAGGAAAAGGTTGAGGAAGAGGTCCTAAGGCAGAAAGTCCCAGACAACTCTGGATTTTTCCTGTTCTTATCATTCAGGAGTCTAGAGAGCTCAGCTGTAGGGTCCTTCAAAACCAGGCTATTAGGTTTTTAGCACTACATTGATTTGAACTGTCCTGAAAGTAGACATGAGGTCTCTGAAGCAGAAACAAATAAATTATTAGTACTTATAATAACTAGGTCAGTTCCTCATACCTCAACTCTTCCCACCAGAAATTGCAATTAAAGCCAGACCAGACATCATTCTATGTACTGGCGTCTGCACTACAGGTGAGTATGGCAGGCAGAATAATGCCTCCACCCCAAAAAGATCCAGGTCTTAATCCCTGGAACCCATGAACATGTTACCTTATACAGTAAAAGGACTTTGCAGGTGTGATTAAGTTAAGGTTCCTGACATGTGAAATTAGCCTGGATTAACCAAGTGGGCCTAATGTAATCACAAGTCCTTCCTTTTAAGAGGAAGATAGGAAGGTCAAAAGTCAAAGAGAGATTGGAAGATGGAAGGAAGCTAAGCTGTTTCTTTTAAAAAATGGAGGAAGGACCCACAAGCCAAGAAGTGCAGGCAGCTTTAGGAAGCTGGAAAAGGAAAGGGAAGGGATTCTACCCTAGAACCTCCAGAAGGAACGTAGTCCTGCTAACACCTTGAGTTTAGTCCAGTAGGAACACGTCAGACTTCTAATCTCTAGAGCTTTAATATAATAAAATTTGTATTAAGTCTTTAAGTTTGTGATAATTTGTCACAGCAGCAATAGCAAATTAACATAGCAAGGAGCCCTGAAAATAAGATTCTGGAAGGATTATATAGCAGACTCCTCCCCTCTGGAGTGTAAACAAAAGATTCTAGGGAAGATCTTGGGTTCTTACCTTTGAAATGTAAAGTATCTCTAGAGAGATGAGAAGACTAGTATCTCTGAGTTTTATGATTTAGGGAATGTCTCCATGGTCTCAGGTCTTACCCACTCCTCATAACCCTTCAGATGTAAACTTATCTATTTCTTGGGAGGTAAATCTCTCTGGAGTTCTCAATCTCTATTCAGTCACTGTTTAACTTCCAAAGCTTCTTTTTGGCCCAGGTCTCAAGTTCCAGTAAAATTTCCTCAGAAAGTCCTAATTGTACATATTTTCTCTACAATCCAACATAGCCTTTATGGCCTTCTGATCCCCACGTACATGTGTAGGCTCTTCATTGCTTGCTCTGCTGTTTCGTTTCGACTGAGACTATCTAAACAAACCCAATCCTATTTAGAAGTCTCTTTACACTATGCTTCCCCCTCCAGTTTGGCCACTCCCTTGTCTTCATAGAGCATCATAATTATATAACTCATTACACTGTATCACAGTTACTTTCTTACATATCTGTTTCCTTCTACCACTTAGTTCATAGGTTTCTAAGGCAGGGTCTACATCCTGTTCTTTCTGAAATCCTCAACATACTGTCAGACACACCAATTTCTCGCTATAATGTGGACAAGATGAACTGAATACATTTTACTCTTATTATCTAGATTGATGACATAGCATTGGGGATCTCTCAAGACAGCACTCTAGATCTCTTAAGCCAGCAGTGCAGTAGACCGATCAAGAACATGGCATCTAGTATAGACTGCCAGGCTCTAATCCTAATTCTGTCACTCTTTATGTGATCTTAGGCAAGTTACATAATAAATAGCTCAGTAACAACTAATACATGGTTCATAACCTTTGACCAGGTAAACCTACTTTTGAGAATTTATCCTAAAGGAAATAACTTAAAAGAAATAAAAATTTTAGGGTGCCTGGGTGGCTCAGTTGGTTAAGTGTCCAACTCTTGATTTTGGCTCAGGTCATAATCCCAGGGTTACTGGACTGAGGCCCATGTCGGGCTCCTCCCTCAGCAGGGAGTCTGCTGGAGAGTCTCTCTCTCCCTCTCCCCCCCTTGCACACACACACATACGTGCACAAACTCTCTAAAATAAATAAATAAATCTTAAAAAAAATAAATAAATAAAAATCTATAGGAACAATGACATTTAATATGGTGTTACTTTGAATAAAAAAATTTGGAATCACTTAGATGTCTGGTTTATAGGAGAAATGGGAAACAAATCATAGTATATCTATAAAATAAAAAATTATAAAGTCATTACAAAGTCTATGAATGTTTACAGCTCAAACTAAAAGGGAACACAGAATAATTCAAACAGTTGTTTAAAGGAGGCAGGAACATGGTTAGTTTTGTTTCCTTATATGACCACAATGTTGCTTAATAGTGAAAAAAAAAAAAAGGAAAACACAATATTTTCCCCATGTCAACAACTGTTGATAGTATGTATTTATAATGGTTGAATTATAGCGGGATTGTAGTGGATAACTAAAATTAAAATGATACTCTAAAAATGTGTTCAAAATTAAAACCTTTCCTAGGAGCCACTGAATTAACAAAAATGATTTCATTTTCTTAAAAATTTAATTTAGGAAGAAATTATTAAAATTAATTCAGATTCTGTAAGATTCTGTGTAAACCACTTTTATCCAGCCCTTCCTGTTCCCATTTTCAATATATCATTTATTCTCTTTCAGATCTCGGGTCCTTTACACCAAAGGATTTAATGCAAGTTGGAAAGATGTCTGTTAATACAGAGAGAGCTCTCTCTTTCACATATTAAACATTTCTAGATCCTCCCCAATATAGAGAAGAGATAGATAATTTTGCAAATGTTCTCATATCCAATCTGCCAGACTCTGATTAATCCAACAAAAAGTTTATTATTCTCAAGTGAAAATATTAAAATAGCTTTTATACATATTTACTCAGGAAAGATTCTTAAATTTATTAGACATAATACCACACCTGCATAAACATTTTGTGCTAAAACTATAAAAGTTGGATATTCTAATTTTATTGATTCATATTACTTCTTTTCTATCACCTATTTAATATCAAAAGTAGAGTCTTCCTTAATGTACATGAATGCATAATAGAATAATAACTACTTGATATGTAAGTTTTAGATAGGTCCCTCTCTGTAACTATGTCAGTAATTATGAAGTGTATTTTACTACTTGCACAGGTTAATTTTGGAACAGGGGCAGAAGATAACTAGTAGAAAGGTGGAGTAAGAAAAACATTAGCCTGGAAAATAATCCCTTTCATTTGACCCTACTGACCTATCCAGGAGCCATTTGTTTTTCTAGATTCTTTACTGTTAATTCCCAAATGGCCAGTTTATCACTGCTACCTCTATTTCTGTAATCTCCACTTCAAAATGATCTATGCTTATCACAGCACTGAAATGGCACTCTTCACATCCCCAGGAATTTCCTAAGAGCTAAATTCATCATCATTGTTCTTAACTTTTGCTTTCAGCTTGAAATAGTTGACTTTTCTTTTTTTTTTTCCTTAAGATTTTATTTATTTCAGATAGAGTGAGCGACAAGCCGGGGTGGGGGGGAGAGGAGGTGTAGAGGGAGAGGGAGATAAGCAGACGCCCCACTGAGCAGAGAGCCTGACGTGGGGCTCGATCCCAGAACCCTGGGATCATGACCTGAGCCGAAGGCAGACACGTAACAAACTGAGCTACCCGGGAACCCCTGACTATCCATTTATATCCTGACCTTTCTATT